TTGAGTTATTTCATTTTAACAGCCACCCAATGATGATGAATACTATTATCTCCATTTTAAAGATAAGAGAAACTGAGATGTAAATAGATTATGTACCTTGCCTTCAGTCATGCCACTGCCACTAAGTGGCAGATTCAGTATCTGTCTGACTTCCAAGTTCTTAACAATAGCATTTTTTTCTCTTTTCACTCCATCTAGGCCTCTGTTTTTACAATTCCTGCAGCACATCAATGCTCAATTCCAAATTCTGATTGTTAATCATGTTCTTGTCCCAAGTCTGGAATGACTTTTAATTTCTGCTTCATTTATTCTACCAGACTCTGCCAAAATTCTTTTTTCTTTGAATTTCCCATACAACTTTCGTTGTACCAGTTACCTGGAGAGTTATTTATGTCTGTATCAAATTTACTGTTATGTATGTATTATATTCTTAATTAGATTATATTCTCCAGAAGATCACAGTCTTTAAAACAATATTCCCGGCCGGGTGTGGTGGGTCACGCCTGTAATCCCAGCACTTTGGAAGGCTGAGGTGGGCAGATCACGAGGTCAGGAGATCAAGACTATCGTTTCTACTAAAATACAAAAAATTAGCCGGGTGTGGAGGTGTGCACCTGTAGTCCCAGCTATACAGGAGGGTGAGGCAGGGGAATCACTTGAACCAGGGAGGTGGAGATTGCACTGAGATGAGATCACACCACTGCACTCCAGCCTGGGCTACAGAGTAAGACTCTGGCTCAAAAAAAAAAAAAAAAAAAAAAAATTCCCCCCAGTATATTACAAAGTGTTATATTTATTGTGGGTAGCCAGTAAATCATTGTTCAACAGAAAGTGACTCATGTTCATGTTGATGAAAAGAGTCAAACTCTGAAATATTTTAGGATATTTATTCTGAGCCAAATATGAGTGACCATGGCCCATGACACAGCCCTCAGGAGATCCTGAGAACATGTGCCCGAGGTGGTCAAGGTTCAGCTTAGTTTTATATATTTTTGGGAGGCATGAGACATCAAATACATTGGTTTGGTTTAGAAAGGCGGGACAACTCAAAGCAGGGGATTTCTGGGACTTCTGGTAAATTTAAACACTTTCTGGTTGACAACTGGTTGAGTTTATCTGAAGATATGGGATCAATAGAAAAGAAATGTTTAGGTTAAGATAAAGGATTGTGGAGAGTTAAGTTTTAATGTGCAGAGGAAGTTGAGCAGACTGCAGAGCAGGTTGTAAAATGTTTCTTACTGGACTTAAAAGGGTGTCTGGCTCTTAGTTGATTATCTCCTGGATCTGGAAAAGAAGGAAGGAAAACAAAGGGGGAAAAGGGATTCTCTGTAGAATGCAGATTTTTTCCTACAAGAGACTTTGCAGGGTAATTTCAAGATATGGCAGAGAAATGTTTTGGGGTAAAACATTTTGATTTTCTTCCTTCTTATGTCAGACTCAGATTTGAAAGTGAGTCCTGATATACAGGGTTAAATAAAACCCATCTGATGAGAATTTGTGGTTTGTAGGGCATGACTCCCCAGACCTCTCAGATAGGAATTTGGGCAAGATAAAAAGGAAATCAGAGCTTAGTCCTCATTCATATGTTGTATGAAATTGTTTATCATAAGGATCTTAGAGTCAGAGATAAAGATCATTGGGAGTTAGTCCAACTCTTTAACTTTAATGATGAAAAGTCTGAGGCTTGCAATAAAAGTATTTAATAATAAACCAATACAACAACTAAGACAAGAACTGTTTCCTCATTTTCAAAGATGACTCAGAATGTGATAAAATATGAAATTATATTGAAATATCTTTTACCTAATCAGTAGTTTGAAACATTCAAGTTCACATGAAACTGTTCTATATTTTTATAAAATTGAAAGTGGATTAAGCATTGTTCTAGGATTAACAGATGTGTGTGTCCACACACACACACACATCCAAATCTCACAAAACTATTCTGACTTCCCTCTTTTTGTTATTTATAGATTCTACAGGCAGGATAAAAGTCAGGGTTATCTTGTTTGCTTTTTATTTATTTATTCATTTATTTTTTATTGCATTTTAGGTTTTGGGGTACATGTGAAGAACATGCAAGATTGTTGCGTAGGTACAGTCTTGTTTGCTTTTTAAAGGAAAAAAATATTGGGTAACTGTGCTTTGTTAACTTTGCATCAGTTATTATGAAATATTTTTACTTAGTACTTTCACATCTGATGTCCATCTTACCGACAAGACTTAAATTAACCATGACCTGCCTTAGGTTTCTCACATATTTCCCACATATTCCCCCTGCCAATTCTGTTATACTGTTACAAAACCGTCTGGAGTAAGTATTTTCCAAAAAAACCATTTTCTAATTTTCTAACATTACAAAAGAGCAAGGATTAAAAGAACCCCAAATTGATGTTTTGGAAAGGAATCTATTTTGAAAGTAACTTCTGGTTCAGAGGATGAATTTTAAAATGTGGCACGTTTCTAGTGTGCTTAGGAAGCTCCAGTCAAGTTTGTTAAGTACACAGGGAAATTTCAGTCATTTGTATGTCAGAATAATCACCAACTTACAGAAAAGGAGCAAGGAGATAACGAATGAGGAACCCTGGGATTGAAAACATTCGGAGGGAGTAAAAGTATTAAGACAGGTGTTTTGAATTTTTATACTCAATAATCTATTCTTTTGTGCAGTATATAGTTCATTTATTTAACTGATATATATTTAGCGTTTTCTATGTGCCAATTACTATTCTAGATGTCAGGGATACATGAGTAAACAACCGAGTTTAGAGCAGATTCATATGATCCAACTTAAGTTCTTAAAAAAATCATTGCTGCTGGGCACAGTGGCTCATGCCTGTAATCCCAGCACTTTAGGAGGCCGAGGTGAGTGGATCACCTGAGGTCAGAAGTTAGAGACCAGCCTGGCCAACATGGTGAAACCCCGTCTCTACTAAGAATACAAAAAATTAGCCTGGCGTGGTGGCGGGTGCCTGTAATCCCAGCTACTTGGGAGACTGAGGCAGGGGAATCACTTGAACCCGGGAAGTGGAGGTTGCAGTGAGCTGAGATCTCACCATTGCACTCCAGCCTGGGCAACAAGAGGGAAACTCATTTTTCTCAGGAAAAAAAAAAAAAAAAAAAATCATTGCTGTGTGGAAGATAGTGGAAGAGTGGAAACAGGGAAATCCGTTAAAAAGGCTTTTGACATAATCTGAGCAACAGATGTTGATGGCTTGGCCTGTAGTAATAGTAGTGTTGGAGATAAGAAGTGGTCCAATTCAGATTATACTGTGAAGGTGCCACCAATAGAAATTTTTAATAAATTGGTTATAGAGTATGATAGAAAATAGTCAAAGTTTAGGGCTTGAAATAAGGAAAATTGTAGAGGAGGAAGTTTGGGAATAGAAGTGGAAAGTAGAATTCAGTTTTGTGCATAAGTTTGAGATGCTCATTACTTTTCAGTTTTGTGTGTAAGTTTGAGATGCTTGTCACTTATTATCAGCATGTGAATAGTATTTTTTTAAAAACTTCTTTTTCTTCATACAGTCTACAGAAGTGGGAGTAGTTCAATGCTACTAATCTACAGTAGTTCAATGTTAGATGAAATCACAAAAGGGATGAATGTATAAAAAAGGTGAGAAACTGAAATTTTAGAGGTTAAGAGGATAAGGATCCAGGAAGGACTACAGGGGAGCAGTTGCTAGATGGAATGATCTAGTAAAGGGGGAAATTGTACTGAATAACATGCATATAAGAATCTATGTCTACATTAAGATTGATTTCATGTGATTCCATGGCTCTTTTTGAACAGGGTCATAAGCTTCGTAGATCTGTCACCCAGTATATTTAATTCATGTATTGGTTAGTGAATACCCACTTTAGCAGTGCTAGGGCATTGGTGAGAAATTCACATAATCTCTGCGCTTGAGAAATTTACAATCTAGAGTAGGCTAAGTGGAGAAAACATGAGAGAGCACATACAACTAACAAATCGAGATTAATGACAATCTACTTAAAACAAAAACAAAAACAAAAAACCTGTCCTACCTATTGGCACGCGGTAATTTTGTCCAAAGTTTTGGTTATGTGCATAATTTAGAGTGGGGTAGAAAACCAGGTCTTTTCGGTCTCAATACAGGGAAGACATGAACTGGGTGTTTATAAACTTTGGTGAGGAAGAGAATTTTAACTAGGACTGGTAACTTGTGGGCCCATTGACATACAGTAGATTGTGAAGAAGAAAACCCCAAGGATTACAAGGAATAGTTTTAATATTACTAACTTTTATCCTTTGCTGAACCTGGGTTTCTTATTTGGAATGGCAATCAAATAATTTGTAAGAGTTTGTAGAAAGGTGGAAAGATGGTTGTAATACAGGGGAGATATTTGCATTTGTACACACTTGAGGGTAGGCACAAGAAATAAAGACACCTGTAATGGGGATTACTTAAGCAAAATGGATGACAGCAACAGCCTTTCGGTACAATAAATAATTGCTGTTCTTCTTAACTCCAGTCATGGAGTTTAATGCCCTGCTGGATTTGGGACAGCAAGACTTTTGAGTTCAGATTCGTCATCCCATTTCTTGTCTCCCAACGTTTTCTCAGCCTCAGAAGCGAGTGAACCCCTTCCACAATTTGGGGACACTGTGGAAGAGCTTCTTGCATGGGGAGCTCTGCAGCGGCCGAAGGTACAAGAAGATAAAAATTGGTATCTTGACACAGCTCTTACAACATATTCTAGACACAAGGAATACTAATGCGCCGCAGCAATTTCTTCGGTGGAAAAAACTGATTGTATCGGAGTAATTATTTTTGTTCTGTATTTTATGAGGCTTCACAGCTGCATTTCGGCCAACTCAGTCTTTGTTCAGTTTCTAGCGGCTTAAAGGTTGCCCAGTTTTACGCCTTCTCGCTCAAAACAGACACTTATTTTCTTTGATAGTCTGGGTTTCACATTGACTTCATCTAAGCTTATTACATTCGCCTCACAAATCGTTTGCCTTTTCCCCAGCCTTAGCTCCGGGGAGCATCCCACTGAATCTCAAAAAAGGTCTTGAAAGACACGGGACAGAGACGGCGGGTCGGCTAGAGTGTCTAGCCCGTACTGTCACTCTAGTTTTCCTTTTGCTCTCGATGGTCAGAAGTGCAAGCCTCTCTTCCGCCCGGAGAGATTTAGGTTCCTGAATGCTTACGCAAGACTCGGAGTTAGTTCCGGTTCCGGCCGTGGCGATTTGCGTTTCTGGCGTTCAGTTGTCGCGGTTGGTGGTCAATAACCGAGCCAAGATGCTGCGGAATCTGCTGGTGAGCAGCTTCTCAACTTGTATTCGTCCTGGGGGCGAGGGAGTGGTGAGGTGGTTAAGGCACCGCGGCAGAAAACGCTCACCTGGGAGGGATGCAAAAGGCGGCTAATGAAGTCACCTTGGATTCTTGTCCTTTTCTCCCGACCTTACTTTCCCTTCTATCTATTCTTCTCGCCCCAGGCCGTTGATGGGTAGATGTAAATAGTGGAGAGACTGGGGAACTGACCAGAGACTCGTGGGTTAGACCCGTCTTGGGTTCTTAGTCACCTCCCCTGACGCTGTGGGCCATTGATGAGGTTAGCTCTGATCTGAGTAAAACCTAGGACCAGGTGGTGAGTGTCTGATACCCGGAAGCATGAAGCAGAAAGGTGTTCTGGTACTGAAAGGTTTTAAGTTTCAATAGTTTTGAGCTTTGCGAACTTCAGAAGGCAGTTTAAAACCCAAGCCATTCAATTTTGGGTGGAACTTTAGGACTAGTCATGGCTGAAATGCAGCGTTACTTCCGTCAGGTGATTCTGCATTGCCCTTCATCCCTCCATGGACTTTGAGCATGTGAAATAGTTCCCCAAATTTGGAAAAAGAAAAGGAAAATGCAACAATGATTATTTTATCTTTTAAATTGTTTAATGAAGTTTTGCTTCATTAAAATGCTCAATGTAATTTATTTTAGAATATCGAGAGCACATTTGTTTCATTATTTAATTCAACTGGATGTGTAATGCAAGTCTTTTTTTTTTGAGATGGAGTCTCCCTCTGTCTCCCAGGCTGGGATTACAGGCGTCCGCCACCACACCCGGCTAATATTTGTATTTTCAGTAGAGATGGGGTTTCGCTATGTTGGCCAGGCCGGTCTGGAACTCCTGACCTCAGGTGATTTGCCCGCTTCAGCGTCCCAAATTGCTGGGATTACAGGCGTGAGCCACGGCGCCCGGCCAAGTAGTAGATTTTTAATAATATGGATAATATGAAGATAATATGAAAATATTTGAGGTTAGTGTACTTTGGTTAACCACTATTTTTGTAATATGTGTATGTCAATATGTTTTGATCAAGGATTATAAAGTGCTACTGGTTCTGTTGAGGTAAATATCATGGTTTTATTTTTTGGTTAGAATTTGTATGAATTGCTTCTCGAATATGGTATTTGGAAACTGCAGAATGTAATTGGAAGAGCAGAGGTTGGATGACAAATTGAAAAACCTGGCTGCTCTTCGATGACTTTGCTCTGACAAATCAGATATGCTTAAAGTCTCAATTTACCTTTTCTATAATATGAAGAACTGAAGATAGATTTGAAAGTTTCTTTAGGTTCTAAATCTGTTGAATAATATTTTCATTTTAGGCTCTTCGTCAGATTGGGCAGAGGACCATAAGCACTACTTCCCGCACACATTTTAAAAATAGAGTTGCAGAGAAACAAAAGCTGTTCCAGGTACTGGAGTATTTTATAGGAGTTTGTTACTTGTAATAATTAGATTACCAAAATGTAGAGTTAGGGTAAACAAGTATGTGTATAAATTAGATCATATGACAATATAAACATTAAAAAATAGTCAAGGACATGTACCATGCTGTTAATAGTGGTTGTTTCTTGGGGAAAGACTTGGTGGAGCAGAGCAATTTACCTTTATAATAGTAGTTCGATTATGAGTGACTTTGTTTTATTACGGTTTCTAGCTTTTACCATGTAAAGCTTCAAGTGATTAAAAAAAGTATTATATATACATAAAAATAAAATACTTTATTGGACAGATAATACTAAATAGCTACTGTATGCTGGACTAGATGCTAGGTATATAATTTAGGGTTATTAACCAGAATCCCTTCCCCACTTTTTTAAGGGAAAAGAAGTTTCCTGCGATTAAATCTAATATGTGGCAATTATTGATTCTTTTTAAGTTATATTAAAGTTGTTGAGATAAATGTGTATATTTGGTAGCTTTAATGTTTATATGTTCCTTGGAAAGATCATCGTTAATGGATTTCAAATTAACATTGAAAGAAGACTGCTGACTTTTAGGAATTCGCATTTTAAAAGTAGTAGGAGTAGAGAAAGAGTCAAGAAAATTGCAGGTCTTTTAGATGTTAATATTTAAAATATTTTAATTCTAGGGCTTAAGGAGCTATATCATGTTATGTGACTGTTCTTCTGAAATTTAGTTGGAAATGAGTGAGACATCTATTCTTATTCTTTTTATTTTTATTTTTTTTATCTAGGAGGAAGATGGAATCCCAGTGTATCTAAAGGGTGGAATAGTTGATGCCATCCTATATAGAGCCACCATGATTCTTACAGTTGGTGGTAAGTCATTTGGAATGTTTGAAGGTTTATAGAAAAGTAATAGTAATGGTAACTAATAACTATATTGCTTTTGCTGTGCCAGTATTTTAATGCAGACAGTCTGTTTCCAGAATTTGGTATCATTTAAGGATTCAAGAGGATGATTGATACATGCTGCATAAGAGCAATTTTGATGTCTTTTTTTTTTTTGAGATGAGTTTCGCTTTTGTTGCCCAGGCTGGAGTGCAATGATGCGATCTCAGCTCACCACAACCTCCACCTCCCAGGTTCAAGTGATTCTCCTGCCTCAGCCTCCTGAATAGCTTGGATTACAGGCATGCATCACCATGCCTGGCTAATTTTGTAGTTTTAGTAGAGACGGAGTTTCTCCATGTTGGTCAGGCTGGTCTCAAACTCCCGACCTCAGGTGATCCGCCCACCTTGGCCTCCCAAAGTGGTGGGATTATAGGTGTGAGCCGCTGTGCCTGGCCTTGATGTCTTAATAAAACAGTAACAGCAATAAGATTTGATGATTATCTTGTGATAGAGGTGGCTTTCTGAGTACCATTGGTGGCCTTGAAGGCTATATTTCAGTCAAAAACATCCATTATATCCCACGTCTTCAATCAAGGGCTTTAAAACATTTTGACTGTGATGCAAAATAAAAGCACACTTTACATCTAAACTCTGTACAGACATATTTATAACTAAAATGAAATTTGAATGGAACAATACTTTTACTGGTAGAGAAAGAGAAGGGAAGCTATATTTGAGTGATTATTTTGTGCCCATCATATTCATAGGGATGCCACGTTCTTGGATTTCTGTAAATCTTGCATGAAGTCTATAATATGTCCTAATTTTAAAGATGAGGATATTATGTTAATTACCTGTTTAGGAAACACTCTACTCTCATCACAGCAATCAACATGGGATACTTCTGTGGCCAAATGTGTTAGGGTTTTTCCCCACACACCAAGCAGTGGATACCAGCTAGGTGTCCTCCAGTTCAGTTTCCACACCATCTACTGGGAGATAGCATCAGATTCCATGGGTTGCGGGCAAGAAGATTGTCCCCTCCTTGCCACCAGTTGCAAGCTTGGATCTCTGGAACTTCTGACTGACTGGCTTTAAGTTGGGGTTCCCACAATCCCCTCGTTGGGAAAACACATTTGCTTGCCAGTTAAGGTAGTATAGGCTGGGTGAGGTGGCTCATACCTGTAAGTAATCCCAGCACTTTGTGAGGCTGAGGCTGGCAGATCACCTGAGGTCAGGAGTTCAAGACTAGCCTGGCTAACGTGGTGAAACCCTGTTTCTACCAAAAACACAAAAATGAGCCGGGCGTGGTGGCACACATTTCTAATCCCAGCTACTCCTGCAGCTGAGGCAGGAAGATTGCTTGAACTGGTAGGCGGAGGTTACAGTGAGCTGAGATGGGGCCACTACACCCCAGCATGGGTGACAGAGGGAAACTCTGTCTCAAAAAAAAAAAAAAAAAAGATTTAAATTCCTTTTGACCAATATGACCATTTCTTAGCCATTCTGGTAAATAGTTTTTAAAATGAAATTCCAGTTGTCAGCTATTTTTTACATGAAATTTGATTAAAATTATCACTGTTCCTTTTTTCACATTCACTGTAGGGAAGGCTTACATATTTTGAAATCTTTTTTTCTCTGGCATTTGAATCATCCTTAGCATTTCTCAGGCAATCTTAGTTAATACGGAAATAACCTTTGTACATGTTCTTAATCTTATTTTTAAAACTTTTTGCATATTATGTGGACATACATTATTGTGCCACACTTTCTATATTAAAAGTAGATTAAATATATTTTACATTTATTTATTTAAAATTTTACCAGCACCTATCAAAATACTTTTTGGTGTTCCAATTAAAGTAATCTTAATGCAAACTTACGACTTTTGAACTGGAATATTAAATTTATACACTTAGAGCTCAGAATTTCTGGTTAAGTTCTTTTTTGTTTTTTATTTTTAGGAGCAGCATATGCCATATACCAACTGGCTGTGGCTTCATTTCCCAAGAAGCAGGATTGACTTCAGTCATCACAGCAATCATTTGGTTCAGTTTCATTCCGCTCTTTATGGACCAGTAATATGATAAATAACTGAGCTGTTCTTTGGGGATCAATATTAATTGACTTGTACTAACTGCCGCCAATAAAGCGGTCTTTACCATGCTTTGTCTGATTTTAATCACTTTTATGCCAATAATTTCAACTTTTGGTCAGCCCTGTAAATCTTAGATAAGGATCAAAGAAATGATTCTTTTGCCACTAAACTTGTATCAAGCATCATTATTGTGATAATACGTTAGTTAAATTTTACTTTTACCAGCTCAGAATTATAGTCTCAACTTTAGTTGAACTTGACACTTGAATGCATATTGTTTTCTCCCCCTACCTATTCCAGTATATCTTGGAATATGCTAGAACCCGGGGATAGTGGAAGCAGGTCATCTTTGGCTCCTGGGGTCTACATTTCTTTTTTTTTTTTCAGCTGTGTGAGAGTATGCTTAAATACTGGATATATCTCATAGCTTAGAATTGGTCTTTAATTGACTTTGTAAATATTTTTTTTTTTTGAGACAGAGTCTCACTTTGTCACCAGGCTGGAGTGCAGTGGTGTGATCTCGGCTCACTGCCACCTCCGCCTCTTGGGTTCGGGTGATTCTCCTACCTCAGCCTCCTAAGTAGCTGGGACTACAGGCACGCGCCACCATGCCCAGCTAATTTTTGTGTTTTTAGTATAGATGGGGTTTTACTGTGTTGGCCAGGATGGCCTCTATCTCTTGACCTCATGATCCACCCACCTTGGCCTTCCAAAGTGCTCAGATTACAGGTGTGAGCCACCAAGCCTGGCCTGTAAAATATTTCAGTATTTGTTTTTTCCACACTTACAGTGGGTTCGCGTAGGTTTCTCTGATCAGGAACTGACCAAGGCAGGATAGTTCTGGGTTCCCCAGCTATCATACTATCTAAGGGACTCACAACTCTCATCATTTACCCCAAACAGTAGTTAGGTGCTTAATAAATGGTAGCTATTACTGGCCTCTTAAAATAGGAATGTTTCAAAAAGGTCTACTTAGGGAACACAAAATGCAAGTAGATGCAGAGAATGTAAGAATCACAAAAACAAGAATTACAACACTGATCTAGGCAGTTCGCTTCAGCGTTCGCAGAACCCTTCCTGCTTTGTGAGAACTACGCATGAAGCTGGAAATTACATAGGCTTCAAGTTTGGGATCCCCTTTTCCTGGGTCCTGGTGTGCATTCATGTGGAGTAGATCTTGTGAACCACCTCATGACTTGACTTCTATATATATTGAGAGTGATGATTCTTCAAGAGATACTGAGTGCTACTGTGTACCATTTACAGTTTTAGGTGCCTGGGAATCATTGGTGAACAAAAGCAGATTCCTCCCTTCATGGAGTTTATGTTGCAGAAAGGGGTAGTAGGAAAGATAGTATAAAAATAAGTAGTACAATAGGTTAAAAGAAGTTTTATGGAAAAAGACCGAAGGGGAGAGCTGGCATGGCTGTGGTTGGTTGGTTGCAGTATTAAAGTTGTCAGGGTAGGTTTCGACAGGGAGGTTAGATTATTTCGAGACATCTGAAAGTAAACTGGTGAGATACAGTCATCCTCTGTGTTAGAAATTGGTTCTGGGACCTCCCACGGATAGCAAAATCTATGACTGCCCAAGCCTTTTATATAAAATGGTGTAGTATTTGCATATAACCTATGTACATCCTTCTGTATACTTTAAATCATCTCTAGGTTTGTTATAATACCTAATGTGAATACACTGTATTGTTTTGGGGATAAGGACCAATAAGAAAGTCTGTACATGTTCAGAACAGATGCAGCCATTTATTTTTTCCCAACTATTTCCAAGCTTTTGGCTGAATCCACAGATTCCTTAGGAACCCACGGATATGGAGATCCAAGTATATATGGGCAAAAGGCACTAGGAAAAGGAAACAGCCTAGAGCAAATGTCCTAAGGTACCTAGCATATTCAAAGGACAGAAAGGCAAGAGAAGATACCGTTCAATGTGTGACAGAAAGGAAGTACAGAAAGGAAGTAGGGGGTAAGCCACATCAAGTAGGGCCTTGTAGATTATTTTATGGATTTGGGCTTTTGAGTGACATGGGGAGCCATCATCGGATTTATCAATGAAGAGTGACTTAAATGTTTTAGAGAGGATTAGCCTGGCTGTTGTGTTAAAATAGACCATAGCGGGACAATGGTAGAAACAGGCAGATCCCTTGAGATGCTTACTGTAGCAACCTAGATAAGAAGAGGTGATGAAGGCTAAGAGCAGCTGTTGGCCAAAAACGTGATGGAAAGTGTTCAGATTATGAACAGAGGAGGATCTTTATCATTCGTTTAAACCTTACCCTTCCTCATCCATCCATCCCACAATTTCCTATTGAGTATGAGAGTCTACTTTGTATGAGGCACTGTTGTAGGCTCAGAGAATACAGCAATGAAATAGATGAGCAAGCTCCTTCCTAGGGCTTACGTTCTAGTCGGTGGAGACAGACAACAAATGATTCATAACCCTGATACTGTCCTGTAGTGGGGACTGCAGATCAACAGGGTGATCTATTAGGAAGAATAAGGCAGTGGAAGCTAGAAAAGTGCTGAGTAAAATGATATTTGAACTGAGACCAGAAAAAAAGGAGCCAGCTAAGACTGAGAAGACAAGCATTCCAAGGAATGGGAAAGGGAAATTGCTTTGCATGGATGAATTACAGAAAGGACAAGTGTTGTGGAACATAGGGAGCTGGAGAAGGCAGTAATGGTTCTCTCTTCCACAGTGACTAACGAAACAAATGGTCATTCCACTACACACAGGGTCTGGATAGATTTTTGGTCTGGTTTCATAATATGCAACACAATCTGATAATCATACTGATTTAGCAAGAATCCCAAATATAAACTAATGTGGACATCTATCTCAGGCAGTTATTGTTACTATTATTAATAAGAACTAGAAGCTGAGAACATAGGGAGATCAAATACATAACAATTACATTTGAACTAGAACTCAGACCTAGATATGTCTTATTCTGAAGCCCGTTGTTTATCTGTTATGTACCATGTTACTTCCTAAACGCAGAAAACAAAATAGTACTTAGGAAAATTTTACTGATTGTTCTCCCCACGAACTTTATTCTTTTGAATATTGTTATATTCGTGGCTATGTTTGATGAATTAGCATCATAAGAATTGGCAATTTTTAATTTTGCTGTTCTCAGATTCCTGTGAGTCTGGCTGTGTATCTACTCCAGTGGCCTATTTCTATTGAAATTATTGTTTTACAGCTGCTATTTACTACTTGCAAAAAAAGAAAAAAAAAGCAGCTTCTAAAAGTCAAGGATATTTTGAAAGAGTCATCTAATTAATGAGGAAAACCAATCAAAACCCAAGGCATTTTCGAAGTTTTTATCCCTGTATAATATACAGGAGGGAAAAAATGATTAAATGTTCACAATTACATTGTTTGGAAACTAGAAAACTGCCTACTGAAATGATAATCATAGGCCAGGCACAGTGGCGCGTGCCTGTGATCCCAGCTACTTGGAAGCTGAGAAGGGAAGACGGCTTGAGCCCAGGGGTTTGGAATCCAGCCTGAGCAAAATAATGAGACTCTTTCTCTCTGTCAAAAACATAAAAGAAAGAAACGGTAATTTTAAAGCACACATGAAGTCAGTTAAAGGAAAGGAAATTCATAACATTAGATATTGGAGACTTAGTGGCAGAATATATGCATGTATGTAACTTTGGATTTGAGCGTTGATTTCTAATTATCTATGTTCCGTTAGTATAATGTAAGATGGGCTGTTTCTTGAATTCTGATATTATGGGAGATCTTTATTGACTTCTTGGAAGAGGCCATCATCTTCCCTCTGGGGAGCTGCTAAACATATTCTCTAGCATTATTCTGGTGGCTAAAAGCTGGTATCCTTGTTTGGCTTTGTTTTTTTCTCTTTCCAGGCCACTTTACTCCAGTTAATTCATTTAACTAGAACAGCTGATGGCCACTGCTTCCTACAGTGCCTTTTCCTAAAAATAGGATCTGCTTTGGGGAAATCAGTATGGAGTGAACCATCTTGACTGTTTTGGTCACAAAAACGTATCTTTACAGTTGATGATTTCCCCATCTTAATTCTATCCTAGTGATCATTAAAATGATTTCAAAAAATTTTCTTTCCATGTTAGTTGGACCATACAACAAAGGAATGAACCGGGAAGTCCCAGTCAAGGATGAGGAGCCTGGCATCTCTTTTTATTCACCTCTGTCCATATTTATAAAAAAAAATTCTGAACAAAAAGCAACAGAATCCCTTTATAGAATTGAAAGAAAAAGCAAACAAAGCAAAAAGATACATTTCTTGAGAAGTAATTTTGAACATCAGTTTATTTCTCAAGTCTTGAAAAAGTCCCTATGTTTATTTCCCAAAGCTGTAGCAACCTAGCTTAAATGATAAATTTTTGATAATGGTTTCCAAATCAAGCCTTTAGTTGGTAGAAAATTCTTTTTTATTTTAGATGATAATTAAGTAGGCTGAGAAAGAAAAAGAAGTGGAGTTACATTGAACACTTAATAAAGTACACCATGCATATATTATTATTAAAAAATTTTCTGATTATAAAACTCATTCATTCATATACATACATAGTAGGTACGAAAGAAAGAAGAATACTTCTGATAGTGTTCTGCTCTCTGTCCTGTGTTTAAACAACTGGAGCACAGGAGTGTTTTTAGGATTCTCCCTCTCTTGTGGCTCATCCTTTGAAATTCCCTTGTTGAGCATGGCAGAAATGTGTCCTCTGGTGACATGTTTCCCAGCTTCACCACCCATATTAGATAGTTTGGGCTGCTATAACAATACGCTAAAGACCAGATGGCTTCAACAATAGACATTTAGTTTCTCACAGTTCTGGAGCTTTAGGAGTCCTAGATCAAGGTGCCAGCTCATTTGGTTCCTAGTGAGGGCTCTTTTCCTGCCTTGCAGATAGAGTGGCCTTCTCACATGGCCTTTCCTTGTGATGTGTGGAGAGTGAACAATCTGCTGTGGGGTATTTTCCTCTTTTCGTAAGGACACCAGTACTATCAGATTGCGCCTCCACTCTTATGACCTCATTGAATCTTTATTACCTCCCTATAGGT